TGCTTTCCTCCTTCCCTGCCTGCCTCCCTGCCTTCCTGCCTTGTACTGAAATAAAGGCTTGTTTTCACTTGAGCCTTCTGAGAATTGCCAGCACGTGTCACGAACTGAAATGTCTAATTCCTGGGAATTCACATGGTTTTTGCAGAGAAAYATGCATTTCTGTGGTTTAGACTCAAAACTGAGCCGAGATGGGAATGTGATCGTTTAGATTTGGGGACTCCCCATTTGAACACATGTAGCATTTGAGTGTTTTAGTTGTGTTCGAGATGTTTCTAAAATGTTCTCCTTCTTTTGTTGRTGCTATGTCAGTCCAATGATTTAAAAAAAGATAAAAAGAAGAGCCATGATAATTCCTGTGTTATAGGATTACTTTAAAGATGTACAYGCCATTCAAAGTGGCTTTGATGGTAAACACGTTTGAATACTTGGGTTGGTTTGGTGACATAAATGTGTATTTGTACATATATCAAAAAGCACATACTTGAGTGTCAAGCTGGTATAAACTGGAAAGACCTCTCAAAATGGAGTTGCTAGAAAGCATTTGAAACATACATGATCTACATCTGAAATATTGCAGGGCTAATAGTTCTTTATTATGAAGCTGTTAATTTGGAATGTTGTTTTTGGAGGTTTTTTCCCTGATTTTAGGTAACAGTGGATATTGCAAGTGAAATTTCAAGGCCTGCATTTAGCTCAAGACCTAAGGGTAGATCTTTACATACATCTATGGAGTTACTAACACCAGAACCRTATTTGCGAAAGGTAATTATTCTCACCTTCAGCAGGTCTGAAAACTCTATGCCTAATTCTTTATAGTATAATGCTAAGAAAGTAATATTTTGCTTTTTTAGTTCCTTATATAATTTTGGGCTCTGCAGGTGTCCTAAGGACTTGTGTGAAAGTTCATGAATGTGGTCTGCTTCTTTTGCAGGAATGGAATATCTTTTAATTCAGTTTTTCTGAATCTGTGTTACTTTTCTGTGCCACAAAAATGACAATACAGCACTGCAACCCGTAAAACTATATTTTTACCTGGATTATTAAATAAATTCTGCTTTAAGGAAAAACTTCTAAAATTCTCTCAGTAATATGTAAATGCACAACTGTAGTTGGTTGATGGATGAGTGGTGATGAATAATTTTGCTTTCATCCCAATTGTGCTTTCAAGTTTCAGTTAGAATAAAATTTATTTTGCTCATTAATAGAAAGCATTTGAGCAAACCTTAAAAGTTAAATTTTTGACTACAAGGCTCTTTTGGAATATGTTTGAACCAGTTTTAAAAAACAATTTAAAAAAMAGGTTAATTTTTGGGACCAGATATGTGATAAATTCGTTGGGATGTAGGAACTAGGAGTTGGGAATTAGACATTTAAATTGATTTACTTAGCTGAGTCCAATTGTGTTATACCTCTGCTCATTTGTCTGCAGAATGGGATCATACCTGGATGCTTCCAAGAAGCATGAAAGTATTTTTATAGGTTCACAATTGGATATTGAGGTTAACAGCTGCTAACTCTGAAAACTAATCTTTATGGACTATTGCATGAAAATGGAAATCTCTTGAGATTGATTAATTAATTGGAAGCTTTTCAGCCCTTCAAAGGCTATAAAAAACTCTAGTATGAGCAAGAGATTGAGATGCTACATGTTGCAGAGTTCTCRCAGTGTCAGGAAATGGATGAGGCAGTTGTGCACATAGGCTCTTAACAGATAATCTGTACTCTGCTGCAGCAGAAATTGCAAAAACCTTTGCAATAATTTCCTAGCCTAGCAATTCCAAATCTGACAGTCTGTGGAATGATGAGCTTAGAATCAATGTTAAATCTAAGAAACAGAGCTCTTCATCAGAACTGAAAATGGTTCTTTTATTTAAGAAGTACACTGCAGTATTGTACAGAATTGTTGTCCCTTGTGATAGCATGTGAGTGTTGTGGTTGTCTTCTTCATCCAAAAYATCCCTGTTTTCGTGGTGGTAATAATTTGCATTTCATAGGTGGATCTACCTGTCACTTTGGCTGATGGTTATCAGAGAGGCAGTTTAGAAGATTGCTGTCCAGCAGAAAGCAAAGGTGATGACAGAGATAAAGCTGAAGTAAGAAAAGCTCAGCAAACCACAGTGGAGAGTACGACCATCTCTCCTCAGGAGTGTCTACAGAATCCCAACGAGTTGTCAGGTGTGGGAATAACTAATACTTTTTCGTATCTTGTTCYGACTGGACCAAATATCAAGTTTTTATAGTTTGGGCAAAATTCTATTGATGGAGGGCAAAGAGGTTGCAAATAGGTAAAATTCTAGAGAAGAAGATGTCAAAATCCATACCTTCACATCTCTTCACTATTTGGAATCCACTTTTGAAAGAAATGTTTCTATTACTGACGGAATAGGACAGTAAATGCCTTGTGGCATTCCTAAACTGTGATCTGGCTTAAAAGATCAGGAAAAACCATCTGTGTATGTTCCATGTAATCATGTTAGCAGGCGTTTTTGTTAAGATGTTTTTAGCAAACTTTTCAGAGTAWTCATTATCATTTGTTAGAAACATTATGCCCTAATAGGTGGTCCACCTGTCCAAAAAATTGGAATTTATGGTTATAAGTTACAGTATTTAACAACTGAACAGTGTTAATACCAATAGAATACTTTAAGAATGCAGTGTATGACTCATGGAAGCACTTTCAGGAGTGCTTCATGGAATTCTTCTGTYATTCTGGAAATGGTAATGGATTAATGTTCTGGAGTGTCCAACTATTTAAAAATAGACATGCAAAGGCCAGTAAGTGAAGAAGATGTTTGGATACCATCTTGAAATTTAGTCAAGATTTCATGACAGTATTGGGGCCAAAAGAAATCCCTTGATTCCTGCTCTTGTGTTTAACATGAGTCCTGGTGTAGTAATACATACTATTTTTAAAATGAATCCTCTGTAGGGGCTCTGTGGTGATCCCTAACTGACAAAAAATGTATTTGGTTTATTGTGAAAGACTTTTTCCTGTGTTTTTCAGGATGTAGCTCTAATTCAGATTCTGAAGATGAAAGCACTGAAACACAGACATTGAAATCCTGTTATCCTTCCACAGGAAAACCAGGTAATGCAAAATCAGATAGTACATTTCAGGTGTGTAAAGTGAGCAGTGCAATAAAACCTTTTCCTTYTCTTATTAATGCTTCTAAGAGAGTTTGGAATGGTAGTTGTATTTGTGTATGCCTTATATAGTTTTAGTAAGTGCAACAAATTGAACATGTATAWGAATTGTGCTATTCAAGACATATTGGGTGAATTCTTTATTTAGAGATTGTTTTATTAATGGATATTCATTTTCTTTCATGTTATAATAGAATCTGAGTTTTCTGCAGATTCAATCAGTCTAATAAGGCAGAATTCAGATAGTATCCAGAGCAGCTGGTCAGCAAACCAATATTAATATCTACTGAACAGAAATTGGATGGAACTCAACTTAAAGCATCACTCAGTAGTTTTAGGTTTAAATCCATCTGCTGACTTCAGGCCAGTTGAAATAAGTGTTCTTTTTTTTTACCATCTGTCCTTGGGGTTTCCCTGTAGCTCACTTAGATTTTTACAGCTCTGCCCTTGTTGTATCACTCATCTTTTTATGGCATTAAAATAAACCAATGCATCACAGTAAGTGCTTGGATCAATGGCCGTGTCAAGCATTTGACCTCAAAAGWTTAGAAAAAGAAAGAGACTATTGCAGGACTCAAACACTTGGAAATCTGTGGGATACGGAGAGTGCTACAAGTGTTTCCTCTACTCTGAATATGGAAGCCATAAAAGAGGATGCAGCATGATGCTATAGGAAGGGGAAAAGCTAAAAGTTATAGTTATAATTTGCATATTTAGGGAAAAGAAATGAGACAATATAGAAAACTACCTTGATTAAGTAATGGTAGTTTCTGTCATGTTTCACAGGGTTTGTTTTTTTTTTTATAGCAACATTTTTCTAGAACCAGTATCAGAATCTGGTTTGATTAAGACATAAGTCAAGACTGAAACTCCTCTAATATTTAAAGGCAGAGATATTACAGAGTCTCTCTTAACCCCAGAATTATTAATTTCAACATGTATTCTACTAGTYAGGCTGAAAAAATTACGTTCTTATTTTTAAACTTAATGATTTTTGCTGATACTGTGGAGRTGTTATCACTCTTCCATTATAAATTTGAATCAAATCACTCGTCCAAAATAGGTGACTCTTCCTCTCCCATGCCTCCGTATCCAACTGCTACAGCTCTGAGCTTGATTCAGAGTTCTGTTGCAAAGTCTTCTGTATTTTTCCCTGCCACAAACAGATTTAGAAATTAATATAAGCTTGAGAATGTTGTACTCATCTATGGTTTTGTCAAATTACTTGTACTGCTATACAGTGTTTATTTGGGTTTTTTGTGTTGACATGCTTCAAGCTAACATTAATTTTAAATGTTTCTATATTCTACAGCAGACTCTTCCAACTTGAAATGTTCTGAAGACACAGATAGAAATTCTCTGATTCAAGCAGCTATAAAGAAAATGAAGAAACTTGACACAATACTTGAAAAACAACGTTCTCAGGAGAAAGTAATTAAAAAGCAAGGCAAAGAAATGAGGGCAAAGCTCTGGGAAGAACTTCAGGTTAGAAGAGTTCTCCTTTTTGTGACTGATGTATCTTACAGAATTATCCTATTTTACAGAAGCCTTATTATTAAATAACTCACAGTTGGTTAAATTAAATGAAGAAATGAATCTTAAAAAGTAGCATTGGATAGATTTTAATATATTGACTAGGCCAATATATTATATTGAAAGAAGGCTGTGGTCCTTAAAAATTCCTGAGACCAATTGCCAACCATACAGCTGCCTGGGTGTGGTTTACCAGCRTAGTATTATGCTTAAGTTCACCACTTGCAGGGATGATGTGTGTCAAGAGGCAATGTCTGTGACCCCAGGCCAAAAAGCATTTCTTTTGCTCCAGGGTRACCCTTCCTAGGCCCATCTGTTTCAGTACAGTCTGCTGTTGAAGAAACTGGAGATGCCCTCTGAAGAAGCCATAAGAATGCTACAGCACAAATTCCTTTACCCTATACCTGTCCTGTCCTCTAGCAGTTAAATGCCTTGAAAAAAGTTAATATTTCCTCTGTTTTACATGAACAGGAATGTGAGTTGCTAAAAAAATATGATTGATTTGACTGCATTTCATAATTTCATTGGATTTGGATTTGGATCCACATGCACCTTACAGATTTTCATTGTCTTGTGAAGTGGGTCTCCAAATAAGAGGCAATATGTAACTTAGGATTTAAAGTTTCACCATGCTTTTGTCATAACTTCAGAAGATGTTCAGATAGCTTCAAGAAGAAAATTAAGTGGTAAGGGTAGTTTTTAATAGGGTCTGAAGTTCGTCAGATCTCATAAGCAGACAATGTATTTCACTTTAAAGAATTTACTTGAAATACATGCATGTATCCATACATATACAATTTATTTGTTTTGAACAGTCTATCAGAACCACAGGAAGCCATGAGGAAGTGGAAAACACAAACCAGTTTTTAGCTTTGTTCTCATCGTGGCATGGTACAGATGGTAAGTAAAGAAACACAGAATTGTGGTACATCCTATCTTTTTCTTGGGGTGAGAGCAAGGATTTGAGGTCTGAATGGTTATTGCTGAACAAAAATCACAGCTTGAATGTTGGAAGTACATGCATAATATTGGTAGCAATGTGTAGTTAAAATATTTCAACAAAACTTACTATTACAATGTAACCTGCTTTTATTTCTATGCTAAAGTTTGGGTTACTAAGGGAAGAAAACAGAATTTGATATGGGTGATATTTAGACAGTCTCCAGTAGATGTCAGGATATATTAAAATAACAGTACACAAGTACGACTATACTCCTTTATTTCATTGATATATATGACTGCTCCTTTATTTCAAAAGTAACTCCTGTAGAGACCGTGTACATCATGTGGTTTCTGATGTACTGTACTGACAAAACTGCATAGTTTAGATTTATAGTTTTCTTCCAGCTTGATCTTTATCTTTTCTGTAGCATGCCTTACTTTTCAGGTCTTACTTATTTGCTTAGGTATTTTTTTTATTTAAATGAGTGCCTTGATGGCTGCCCTGGTTGATACTGAAATGGAATACATTTAATATATTTTGCTTTTCAGAACTTGAATTTGATAGAGTTTTAAAAATAAACTGTGTTCGAGAACTATTATAGCTTTTAATATAATTGTGAAATCAAGAACAAGTTCTGGGTACAAAGTCATTAGTAACTTAAGTGTTCCAAGCCTTTGAGGCACAACAAAACCTTCTGATACACTCACAGCAGAAATGTAAACCAGGAGTTAATCAAACAGCCTTAAATTCCTTACCCCGTGCTCTGTTTAACAAAATCATTTGTTTAGCAGAGTCCATTACACTTCATTATTACTGGTTATTGTGTGGTTTTTTGATTGCAAAACCCACATGTAATTCATATAGTACTTTGCAATATGAGTCATTTTCTGTAAGTGCTAAGTGTATAGACTGCAACTTACGGCTCTAACTTCTATTTCCAGTTGATACATTTGAATACTTCAATTGATTTATTTTTTTCTTTGAGTAACTGAAACAACTAGGATGTCTGAACACTATGCTTTGAACTAGGATGCTTTCTAGGCTATGCCCTTGACCCAAGCTGCTTGGAAGTCTAATAATTCATGCACAGGCAGACACCAGCTGTGAAAACCTGGATACTTTATTCTCATTCAGAGTTTTAGATGACGTGCCACATGGTGTCTGCAGAGGCATTTGAACTTCAGGGCCTTGAGAATGTGATTAATTGTCCTCTATGAGCAGTAGTTGTTAAAAACAAGAACACAGCCATAAGAAACAACATATTTATTCACGACTCASACCTTACACTTTCCCCTTGTTTATTTCTTGAGAAATACGGCACTTATGTAATTTATCCAGATGAATTTCTTTACTTTCCAAGTGTGAGATCTTACAGTATGATACACTATGATGATAGATCTTTAAATACATTTCAATTAAACTTTACTGGAAAAATTTCCTTAAAAATCACTCCCATGCTAAAGAAGATGAAATATGTCCTTCAGTATTTCCTGCACATATGAATCCTGAAKATAAAGATTGCTATAAAGCCCAAGAAAACCAGGGTAAGCTTTATTAAAGGTATAGTTTGTATTTTTAGAAATGACAAAACAACATGTCCAATGGGTGGGTAATGGAGATTCAGCCTTTGTGACAAGGCCACTGAAATGGGAAAAAGCAGGGTTACTTACTGAAATGGTGACAGTTTTTATTTTTTTGCAAATGAAAAAAGAGAATGACTTATCTTATACATTTTACTCAACATGGTAAGAAAATTTTTACTTTTGGGTTTATAAAACCATTTTTCTTTCATTTCAATAAGACAAAGTGTCTGATATATTGTAAAATGTATCATTGAYTCTTCATGGAAATCTTTTAAAAACTTGGCTTTGCTACTACTCTAAGGTATTGTAGCTTTTAATAGGCTTATATTTAAGAAACCATCTAGAAATGACAAGTGCTGAATTGAACTGCAACTGTTCTGCAATTTTCAGGCAACTAATTTTATATTTTATTATGCTGATTATTGAAAAGTCTGCATTGCTTTCATGAGAAGTACTTTCTGGCAAAACTSAAACACCTTCTGATTCTTTTAGAGAGCATGTATTATCATGCACTGTKTAGACACTTCAAATGCTGTTAGTGRTGTAGTATGTCCAGCACATGAAAATAAATGGAATAGTGCTTCTCTGCCTCTGTTCTTTCCTTATTTGAAATTCAAATTTGTGTGGTTGAGTAACTTTTCACATGTGTTGTGATATAAGAAAAATAGCTTCAGCTGCCATTGCTATCAGCTGCAATTGTTTGTTTTTTTTGTCAATTACCATTCTATGTAAACAGAAGGAATTTATCTTCCTGACTGGCTAAGAACACAAAGACATAATAAAAGGGCATTTCTCGAGGCTGAAGCATCAAGGCCAGCAAAATCTCTGCAGTTTTGTAGAATGTGACTGCATGCTTGAATTTTTAAACATGGACWTCATCTCCTTTATAATTTTATCCCTGGTCTTAGTTCAGCAGTATGTGACCTTACCTTTGTGGGCTGGAGCTTTTAATTTCTCTTTCTGCCATGTGTCTTCATTCCTCCCTTAAAATGAAGCTTGACCCTCAAAAAMATTTGTGAGTTGCGCTGGAGTGCCCTTGAATAGCAATGGCAGGTTTCATTACCAGTATTCAGTACAGCATTGACTTCTGGAGCTTCCAGTCCAGGCATGGTTGGGAGTTGCTATCACTTGCACTATTTTGAGATGTTCTGCATGTTCCTGCTTTGGGAATRCGTGAAGTAGAGATCACTTACAGCTTGTGAGCAATATATTGCTTTAAATGACTTTTACTGTTTCTGCTGGAAGATTTTGATGTGGTGTCTGAATAGCTAAGACTTACTGTTTCGGATTTCTGTGTCACAGCTGTCATAAAGGCAGACCCTGAACAAGATGAGATGGTGGAAAAGCATGTATGCACTTGTTTAATGCTATTACTTCATCAATCTCATCAAGATTTGTACCAAATCTTTGAAATATGTGCCAAATCCACCAAAATGTGTATGCAAAATTTGTTAAGYTGCAATCACTCTTTGAATTAACCATGGGAATCTTCAGTGTATTCTTTGTCTCAATTATCCATGTCTATCCCTTCTTCCTTGAATATTCTGAGGTGTTATGTGTGATAGCTCCCTCTTAAAAATGTTGTTCTACAGTCAAGTGAAATATGAAGCTTAAAATGATGTATATCTTGTGTGTTATGCTGGTATTTGGTGTGTTCTGCTCCTTTCAGGATGGAACTTGTCATATTTATATTGATTGTTAAATTCCTATATGATCCAGTTCCTTTACATATTGAAGATGTTGCCTGCTAATGGTATAGAAAGTTTAGGATGCTTTCAGTAAACAGTTGTCCATTTGAACTGTGAGGGGTTTTCTTGGTCAGATCCAACACCTCATTACTTTAAGGTTTGTGTGTAAAGGATGCATGGAATTTATTTCATATCTYTGGGAGTTTTTTTTCATTCTATTCACTCTGAAAGAGTGAAGAAGAAGAAGAGTTACTTCTGTGTAAACTCTCATAGCCTGTGTTCTATTATCTAATATGTCAAATTAGGKTTTTTTTTGCATGCAAATAGCCCACCCATTTTTCAAATTTTTGCTTTCCAGAAAAGCAAAAACTAAAGCCTGCCTTTGAAGGAATTATTGAGATTTAGAACGAGATTGTGTTTGCTTAGACTTGTTATTTAATGTGACAAATATTTGTTGTTCATAAAGGAATTGTTATTTTAAGCCTGGCTAAAGTCTCTGGAAAACAGAATACATGCCGATTTTTTTCTGTCATGGATAGAAACCCATTGTTAGTAGAAGATCATGTATCTGTTTAATAGATTTACAACTCTATGATGAGTTTTATTTTTTAACAAAATTTGTTTTATAAGCTGTGTTATAATAATATCAACTATATCATCTGTTTTTCAGCTGTTTTATTTAGAAAAATGTACTTGATATGTCTCCAGATAGTTCTGTGGTTTTCAAAAAAATTGTTGTCTGGTTTTGTAATGATGAGAAAACTGCTATGATGATAGGGTTTGAAAGAATGCCGTGGCTTTTAAGGCCACCATGTTTAACATTCTTGAGGTCAGAAATCCAAAAGTATTTTAGCCTTTGTAACACTGAGTGATCTCATGTAATAAAAAGATGAAAAAACAATTAGATTCTGGCAATAATATGTTCTAAATAAAACAATATTATTTACATGAATAATGAAAACACCATACAAAAAGTTTGTCTATTGGCTATATGTTTGCTAAAGATTTGAATGGGATTGATGTTATTACAGCTCTTTTTGAATCACAATAGGAATGATTATAACGTAGCAATTTTTCTTCCTCAAACATCAGATTATCCAAGTGAATTAGAAACAGAAAAAGCAGCAAAAAAAATGCATAGCAAAAATAAAACCTACCAGCATTTCATTAAAAAGAACATTGAGGTAAGCATGAAACCAATAACGTTATTTTAAATGTTAACTAAAAATTAGTCTGTAAGTGCTTTTGAAGACAGGTTATTTTTTAAAATCAGGAACATTAAAAGCTAATTAGGCATAAATAAAAAAATTACCTTTCTGTTAAAACTGTTATTTATGGCAGAGGATAATACTGCCTCTATGTATTTTCTAAAGAGTACTGGAAACTGAATYATTCTGTTTGTGCCTGGACATAGCTTGTTTTGAAGGTAATATCCTRAGGCCTTTTAAGAATGTATTTACTGTTAAGTTGAAGGACGATGTCCGTATGCATAGATAAGGGATAGATATACAGGTTGTTCATGTGTAGCCTGCATGAGACCACTCTTTGTCAGAAAATACATCTCTAAATTTTCCTGTTTTTTTTTCCTGTGAGGGCCTAGTAGCTATTTTTCATCCAGTGAAAAATATTTGCCTCTCTGCTATGTCAAAGACTAAGATAAGATTATAAATTTATTSTATGTAGGCTGCTGTATTTTTCTGTAAGAGTGATAATTTGTATTATGGAAATAAAAAGGATTTGGATKTTAATTACATAGAATTCAAAATCTTTGTTTTGGTTGTGTTTGAGCTAGTGGAGTTCTAAAGGATTTTTTTTCCCTTTTGTAAATACTTCAGCTAGCAAAGGATTCAGGAAAACAATTTGTTATGCTTGAGGAAGAAAGGAAAAGGCTAACTGAACTGTTGAAAGATACAGAAGATGTAATTGAATTGCAAGATCTTGAGGTATGACAAATTTAATCTGTACTGTCCTGTTGTATTTGGCTTATTTTTACATTAAATGTAAATTTGGTCTTAGTCCTACCATGAAATACCTCACTGAGATATGAGAGAAAATCTGGACAAATYCTGTTAGATTAATCTCCAAAAATGAATTCTCACTGGTTTCCTTGTTAATTTTACTAACAGCAGAACCTAAAATTAAAATTAGGCACAGGAGAAAGGGTACTTAGAATGACRCTTGTAGAAAATGAGCTATTTGCATAAAATGTGAAGTTGTGGAGTATCAATCTGAGTGGCTGGTGCTGTAGTCTAGGGAGAAAGGCCAGCAACTATTTTCAAAACACAACAAGTGTTTCACAAATGATAAATGGACTTCAAAATGCAGCAGTTTGGGAAATACGCATTTAGAAGGCTTATGTGACCCTTTAGCAGGATAACGTGACATCTTTCTATGGCTTCCAACTCACTCTGTCTTTAAAGTATATAAAGGAGAAAAAGTCTGCTTAAATCTATGCTTTTATCTAATATTGTTAAACAGTGCACAGTCTGCATACTTCGGTGAATAGCAGGAGCTGAAGTGATTGAAAATAATACTCATGGAGAGTAAAAAAGACTATTTGATTGTCCCACCAATCACCACTTCTAGGAGAATCTGCAACAAAATGATTATCAGTAATGTGAAGATATCAAATAATCTTTTCATGTCCAACTTACTAGAAGATGGCCTTTATTTCTTACTGCTTTGAAGGGAATATCRCAGTGAAAAAGTTCTTGGGGGCTCTGTTGTTTTACAGAATTATTCATAGAGCTGCTAGGATGGAAAGATTAAATTAATTTGAAAAATGAATCATACTAGGAGCTTACTTTTCAAATACATGGGGTATCAAACATGCAAAGATACATAGGACAAACATCTTCAAATAATGTAAACTTTATATAATTCTTCAAGCAACTTGTATGTTAACAAGTAAGAAGAAATATAAACGCTTTATATAAAGAAATTAGGTGGCCTTTCTGATTTGCTTTACATTAGAATTTATATTAAGTCTATGAACTTCTTCTCTATATTTCTAAGTATATATTGCATAACAGTATCTAAGAAGAAGGATGTGAACTCTGTGTAGAACAAACAAAATATATCCAAAGTCCATTTTCTGTTTAATTTATATAGCTAAAAATTATCTGGAGTAAATTATTTTTTCAGTAGCTTAAATAACAACTTTGGTGTAACAGAAACAAAAGCAAATGCAGTGGTRTTATTTCTTCCCATAGTTTGTTTTAATTTATTTTCTAACAAGGTGRTGAAGGCATCCAAGTGGTGATGCTCTTCATTACTCTTTTCTAGAACTTRTCTAAGATGGATTTTACAAATTACTGTTTCAGGATATGGGGTAAGGATGAGCTCATTGTTTTCTTCATCTGAATCCAAACTGGTTATGGAAACAGAGAACTATCCTACCCATGGTTTGTGACATTCAACAAATGTATAATTTGTCCCAGCTTCAGTGTGATTTCTAGACTGAAACTCATTTGGTCTRTGGTTCAAAACTTCTTTTTGCTCTAGGGAAACTAGTAAATAGACACTGTTTTGGCATATTCAGAGCTTTATAGAGCAAATATCAGTGGAGGAGTACTGTTAGTCAGGAAAACCTAAAGGACAAATGGCTGAGCTTATATAAATGTACAGTGCTGAAATAGTAATTGTTCTTTGGCAGTTAATAAGATAATATGGAAACATATTCTTTGCTGATTATTGATTGTTGATGCACAAAGGTTTGAAACTCTCAGTGCTTTTGTTCAACATGAAAAATTTCAGCTTCTGTAAAATTGCACAAGTCTTCCAGTTTTACTGACATTTGTTCCCTCACTTTGAATAGTACGTTGTATGCTAATGAATTGTATGCTAATACAATTTTTTGGACATGAACACTGAACTTGCAAATTAAAATTTTTATCTGCCTAAAACACTCATCAACTAATGATGTTGCACAGATATGTTTGACTTAGCTGACTTAGTTTAGCATTTAAAAAATGCAATGAAAGGTTCATTGACCTAATGTTTAATCTGCTGGTTGTAAGAGTCGATTTTTATTGTGGTTTTAATTTGTTAATTTGTATATTAGAAGAACAAAGTTAAAGCTCACTGGATTGTTATTTAATCTTTTATCTGRGCATTTAGGAAAAGATTGAAGGTGTTCTTATTGGATCTACTTGCAACAGGTTTGGCACTGCAAACCGATGTAAGGGTGACAAAATGTTGAGCTGAAACAGTACTTTWTCCTGACTTTGAGCAGGGAGAAACTAGAGGGAGAAAATTGCAGAGAATTTAGGTTTTGTTTTTCTYCTCTTGGTGGAAAAGTCTGTATTTGATTTACAATGCTGTCTCTTCTGTTCTTCTTTCCTGATCAAGGACATGTTTCAATGTGAGAAGATAGTCTGCAATTTGATAAATGTCATCATTTAAAGATCTGAAAATGTTTTAAACAACCTTCTAAAGGTTTTTGCAATCTACTGATTGCAAAAGTATTCTCTCGTAAGTGTAGTTACTAGTGTTTTCCTTTAAGCCAGTATATATCACAAAATTTAGAGRTATTTATGCAAAATAGCTAATGCAAAGTCCACTTTTTTTGCACCAATTCTCAAGGCATAAAGGCAATGGGAAGTGGTAGCATTTGTACACAGTTTGTATTTGGCACGTGTCATCATGTTGTCATTTATCTATAGAGATTTTACTGTTAATATTAGATATAAAGTAGATCATCTCACAGGACATGTRTGTTGCCATATGTTCCTGATGCCATGGACAATAATTGTATTTTTTGGGTTGCTCTAGTCTTCACTAGATCATCTCTTTAAAGAAAAAGCTCCTAACTCTACTATCAAAGTAGAATAAAAGAAAGGATAATAGTTATTTAAACCTGTCTAGGCTGATGGATTCTTCCTTTCCCATATTTGAATTTTATTCTGGTGAKGCATTTCCTGTGGCTGCTTCATAACAAAGATCATGAGGAAATTATCAGCTAATGAGTAATCTAGACAGCTTCAAATTGACCCAGGTAACTGTCCCACTGATGGCCTCTTTCATCTTATTTTATTCTGACTTTTTAAAAAAGCTGGGGCAGTCACACTGGCTGAAATAATGTTTTGAAGGCTGTCAATCAAAGCAGATCTGGCTTTCCTGTATGAGTRCCTCTGTATGGTGTAAAGTGGATTAGATAACTTCATTTGACTTGTAYTACTAAATATGCCAAATACCCAAACAGCACTTCTCACTTTTTGAAAGAATATTTTCTGAGTGTTTAAAATATTTTACAAGCATTTATTCATGCTAATCTCAATTGTCAAAGCTGAAGCTGCAGGGGTATAATTTGTTTCAGATGTTCCATAGAAAGCACTGACTGTGCTGTTATAAAAGTATTGTTCTGAGTTAACACACAGGAAAMATTGACAGGACAGAAGCTTATTTTCCAAGCAAAGCTATCTTGAAAATACAAAAGAGAATGTGTGAGTCCATTTCACCCTGGAATAAAACTCCTACTGGGGTAATTTGGATATTTGGTGTATGGAGTATAGACACTGAGCTGTAGCTAATGAACCCAGTTACATTTTACTGGACTCCTGTTAAGTAATTTCTGTGGTTTTGCACTGTGATCTTCATTCTCTGATTAGGGGTGGTTAACATGACATGAATGTAGTGTCATGCTGAATACTTATTTTTTGGTGGTCACTGTCTCACCTGAACAGATGTTTCCGCAAAGCTGGCAAGCTGGCAAGACATTTGTGAGTGGTTCCTTTGGAGTCAGTTCAGGTCTGGTCAAGCTTATTAGTTGTGTCTCATCATACTTGTATGAGAAAGCATTAGAACTGATTTTGTTTCACAAAAACGACTCTCTCTTGACTTTTTTTTTCCCAGATTTATTTTGAAGATAATATATGACAGGTGTTTGGGATATGCTTTTTTCCTTTTTGCAACTAGTGTGCTTTAGGGTAATGGGGATGAACCACGAATGACCTCATAGCAGTGGTATTGTAATTGGAAGCTGATATTTCCTCCTCTTGTATGGATGCAACTGCTTGAATAGCCTGCAAGCTGGAAACGGTGGGCATGAATTTCTTGTGAAACAGATGTTAGAGTCTTAGGGCAAGGTGCTGGCCCTGTACTGATAGGAAAAAGAAAGGAAGCCAGCAGTACATTCATGTCCTTCCACGCATCCTTGCTCCTCTAAAATCCTATCTGGTGTTTCATTGTGGTCAGGACAGAGAAGTAATCTGCAACTCTCATACCTGGTCGTGGTTGTGCAGACTTGCTTCCCTGAGTGTGAGGCAGGAGTGCCAAGTGGCTGTGGAGAATCTRCATTTGTCTGGGTATGAGCTCTTTTACTTGGGTTAAGTGGCCTAGCTCACTCCTAATGTGCAGCTGTATATAGTAGGAATATATATTCATACTGTTATGCAGGTATTAACTGCTKTCAAGAGGAAGAAGTTGTGCAAATCATGATTAGGAAAAAAACTCTCTGCTTCCTGTCTCCCAGGGTTTCTGTGATACCATAAAGGGGCTCTAGAAGGATGGCAGCTCCAGATCTCAGAGCAGTTCCTCTGATTTCCTGTGAATGCCCTGTTCTCTTCTCTGGTGGTACCTTGCAATTGTCTCACTACATCTCATACCCTCTGTTTGAGATTTGGCTCCAGGTGGTTTCTGCTGTAGCATCAACTTCTGCAGTTTCATTCCAAGCCTAGTTTTGGTTAGTCTTTCTCACTTTTTGTCTCCTTTATCAGATGGAATGCGGTTGTCCTTTTAAGTTCCTGCTTGGTTATATTTAAAAATGATGATTGTATGTCTCTATTTGTTCTGTCCAAAGCTTCTCTCGAGTGTGTTAGGTATATGGATATTCGGGAAATTTTAGCTATATACTGAGATGGATGAGTGTACATTTTATTATTAAGTATGGTTTATTCAAAAAATAAAGACACATGGTATATTGTTGCCCTTGAAGTCTCTTTCTTTAGGGAATAAGGCTTAAGTATTTTCTGTATCTTTCAACAGGAGAATGGATCTGGCTGGGTAGCACCAGGAGAAGGGTACACACCTGAACCAATGGAATTTCATCTCTTAAATGAGATAGACAGTAAGCTTAAAGTACTACTATCGGATGGGGTTCTTTCTACAGTTTCCAGATCTAGCTCAAAATCTCCAAGCCAGATGTATCAGGTAAGTTACAGACCAGAGCTCCTCTGAAGATCTTTTGTTTGAAGTGTRTGTTGAGATTAATACAGCATATGTTTGTATCTTGCATTTTTCTTCAGTAAGCTTCTGTTTATTCATAAAGTATATGTGTTAAGGAATGAAATGACAAGTTTTGGCTATAGAGAACAATGGAAAAGTAATTTTTTTGCCATTTTGAGCCATTTATAATTCAAGAATTGTCTTAACAGTTGCTGATTCCCCACTTCCAGGATACTTCACGTTCAGGAATTGTTAACTCATACATTTTGAAGTGTATGAGTGTGGTTTCTTCAGCATAGGAACAAATTACCCATGGTAGTTTACATTTGGGAATTAGAGTTGGGTTTCTTCTTATCTCAGGATTCCAGAAGTGCCTGTTCACTTATGATCTGAAGGGTAATGCATTGACTGATAAGCAATGTTAAAGACTATGGAACATAGGTATTGTATGTCCCTTGTTTTTAATGGCCTTTGTCTTTTTCCCTTGCCAGCAATATTGAGAACCTTTGAAGATCAAGAATCAAGGTGTGAGCCTTGAGAAATGATTGTTTAAATTTTGTRCTTAGAAAACTCCAATTTATCCCATGCCCTTGTATTGTTGCCTCTACTATAATGGAGTTTAAAAGAAAAAAAAACCCTAATTATTTTGCATTTATTTGCACAAAGCTTCTTTACTTCTGTAATATTTTCATTTTATGGCCAAAACTGGTATGTCAGAGAGTACATGTAAAAATGTTCGTTGGCAAAACTGGTTTTAGTTACAAGTGTGTGAAAAACATCTCTTTGAAAGGCTAAAATACCTGTGGTTGTAAGGGCACTTCAATGTCATTTTTTATTGGTTTCTTTCTGAACATGAGGTTTTGTTTTACCTCTAGTGATATTTTCTGTAGCTCTGTTCCAGAGGAGTCACATTTTGATGTTGATCATTTACCAGCTGGGATCTAATGTGTGAAAAAGCACCTCCCCCTCGTTGGTAATGACCTGACAAATGAAGTTGTTACCCAGTAACTTCAGGTTCATGGACTGAGCTTGCCAATGATTACCTGATCTTGTGTTCAATGTTACAAGACATCAGCTTGAAGTTAATGTGACTTGCCTGTGATAATGAACACTGTTTGGAAATGTTGTCCATGTTATTGCTGTTGCTTCCTTTCRGGTAATAGCTCAGAAGTATTTGAATTGAAACTGCATTTAGATGTATGCTAATTGAAGAATAATATATTATCCTTTTGGAGTAATATTAAACCTAACAACCAAAAAAGAGGTAGTTAACTCCTTGTTACCTTTCATTAGCGAAAAGCAGTTGCCTTTCAGTTTTGTTTTGCAGCATATGAAAGACTTTCAGACATTGTAGTTCTGTGATTTTAATTTAGAATTAGCTTAGAGTTGCGTATTATGAAGCTGCATATTCTTTTCTTCCAAGAATTGCGTTGGATACAACTTTCAAAATGCAGACACTTAATCACTATAGCCCGAATGGGAGGTCTTCTTTTTCTTACTAAATACTTTGACAGGATATAGGAACTATTCTCTCACTCTGAAATCTTTAATARTGGCCTTTAATTATCCTGCAGTACTGTAGCTGAGCTGTAACAGAGGAGCAGACATGTTCATCTTTTTGTGCAAGGAGTCCAGCTGGATTAAGAATGCTTTCCATAACTAATATTATCTTTTACATGGAAGTGTTTCTCATCAGAACTGTATTTCTCTCTGAAACATTTCTTTGCTCTGGTGCCAAATTAACAAAATATTTAAAAATGTTTCTGTTTTACTTAATATTTTTGGGGGAAGAATAAATTAAGTTGAATGTAATCCCGAAAGGACCAGGAAAGGGATAGACTGAAGAATATGCAGTGTAAGACTGTGTGTGATGACCACAATTACCAGCTTGAAAAAATAGAAAACTACCTCAAAACTACAGCAAATGAAGATGGTATATAAAGAAACAATAATATCTCTATGCTTGGTTGTCTCAAAAGAGAATTAATATTGTGTGTTACCGTGATGAATTATTTCGTAACTGGGGGTTTTTATCAGAAAAATATTCCCTTTTTCTATTATAGAAGTAGACTATAGTTAACAGTATTTAAGATTAAACAAATGCTCAAAATTCAGAAGATACACTAATTTTTCAATTAATGAACTGCTTGATAGCCTATGCCTGTGCTTCACCGAAACAGATTAATTTCACAGATATATCTGTTTCTGAGTATGGTTAGAAGAAGGTTAATAAACTGATCAGCCAATTCTTTTGCCTCAAGAAGATGGTATGACACTAATATATTTAATTAAGTYGAATTATTTATTTATAAAATTTGGAGCAAAGGGAGTGCAACAAATAATTCTAGATATTTCAAATACTGAATATTTCTGTTTGTCATTATGTTTATCACAGTTTTGGCTCTTGCTAAATATTTTATTTTCCCTTATGTAAAATATTTTAACASTTTTATTTTCTACACATCCAAAAATATGAAAGACAAAGTAGTCTCAAATTGACTCCACTATGTACATGCACTATATAGTTGAAAAATAACATTCTGAAGTGTGTGAAACACTGGCAATAAATTTTTTCCTTGATATAATACTTCCTACATTTATTTAATGATATTTTGAGAAAAAATGTTAAAAATTACCAAGTTGGAAAAAGCCTTGACTTGTGTTTCTATCACTTGCAATTCAAGAATGTAAGAACTACTTATGCAAAAGCAGCAGCTTAATACTCCAGAGTGGTCAAATATAAAAAATAGATTACTATGAATAATTTTGAAAACARTACAGAATGGAGCAGAAAATACGATTGTCTGTTACAGGAATATATAATGTCATTGTGGTACCGACAACTATTGCTGATTTTAAATATATATTCAAAAATTTTTACTGTATTAAAATAACTTTATTTCCAGGCAATGAATAGTTTGATTTAAATCTCAGAATACATAGATTTGCTTGATGTTTAGAAAAAGTTGTTTACAGATACCGTTTTCTGCATATTGTAGGTGAGAAATTTTCTGTTGAGTGTTTAATTGTGAAGGTTGTTTTTTTTTCCAATTAGACATGCTACTTGGAACTGTTTTCCTTGTCTGTCTATTAAAATTTCTTGAACTGCTTCTGAAAAGAAGAATGAACAGTGATTTTTTGTGTTCTACAGCTGCTCATGTTCCTTTGGGTTGAATTGATTATCATGMTGGAGGAAGGTTTTTTGCTTAAGTTTTTTTACCTCTGTCAATATTGAATTTTTCTATAGAATCTTTGGTTTGCAAGAGAAAGCTCTGTTTTTTTCCAATTACAACATAACTTTTCAGTTTTGCCAATACTTGTCATTCTTTATGGACTGAATTATGTATAATACTGAAACCTGAATGTATTTGGAACTGATAGAAACTTCAGAATCCAGTCCAAAACTACTGAAGGAGTCAGAGAGAAGGTTGTTTCCCATGTCCCATGATACCTTGTAAACAAAAGCTATTGCCATTTCTGTTCAGTTTTTCCTTTTCCTTCTGGCTTCATTCAGATCCCCATATGGTTAATGGGAGTAAGCTTTGAACCAGTCATTCAGTCACCCCTATTCTTAGAGCATTTTTATTGTTGTGGTAGAAATTAAGAATCCAAGTGTTATCTCTGGAGACTGAGAAATACCTCTTACAATGCAAAGGGTAAGAATTCTTTTACTGAAATATGTCTAGCCTGATATTTTGCTATTGTATTTGAAAATGTGCATAATGAAAATAATGCATTTGCAGAATTTGATGTTGACACATTATTCTAAGCATTTCAGTTTTCTTAATAGAAATAAAAAGAACTCTCTTGAAGCAATATAAAGTCATGTGTTTAACTTCTGTCTGCTCTTCTTTTCTCAGGAGTCTCTGGTTTATGCAAACAGAAKCCTTGAGGCAGTTCCAGGTGAAAAGGTTCTGCGAGACAGTAAGGAAAAACGTAATCAACAGAGTCGTCTGAAAGAAATAGATCATCAGCTGGCATCCCTAAAGAGAAATTTTGTAAGTTTCCTATTTTTGCTATATTTTTCTTCCCTCAGTCTGGAAACTTTGGAGTTTATCATTCCACATGTCTTAAAATAAAATCAAGTTTTGTAACCTTACGTAAATTTCTGGAGGAATCCCCAAAGAAATATGCAGGCAAAACTCTCAAATAATTATTCTTAATCTGGGAAATGCTTTTTTTTTTTTTTTTCAATTGTAGCACATGCTTACCTTTAATATAGGGTTTTTCGTAGTCAAAGACATTATCCTCCTCTCTTCCTTCCCTGAGGGGCATAGCATAAACAATAATATATAAGTGCATCCTAAAAGGATTTTTAATGGCTCATGTACTTCAGTGTTCTTTGAAGGAACAGGTCCAATGGGAATGTTGTTTGCACTAAGTTATTGTGGTAGTCTTGCTTTACTATCACTACATTGCAAGAAAAATAACATTTTTTATGGCTGTGCATTTTAGAAATTTGCCTTGTGTGTGTAGCTTATTTTAGAGTTTTCACATAATRAGAAAAACACAAATATGTTAATTGTGACTGACCAAAAATCCACGTAGCACACCTTTGTCTTTTGGAGGTCTTTATTCAGCAGTAGGCTTACTCTCCATAATAATCAGAAAAGTACTGTTCCTGTTATCTTTTATTGCCCTCAAAAAGGGATCTCCAGTGTGGATGAAAAGCTTTTGATTCAGGTAGCAGCATAACTGCAGTGGTATAATCTCAATTACTTGTAGCACCGTTGCTATAATTACAAAAGCTTCAGCCACTCTACATAAACAAGGTTTATTCTGGCAGTGCTGGGGTACATATGGAATATGGGAACAAAGGCTTCAGACAAGGAAACGGTGTTTGTTCTAGAGGCTGTTCACTTGTGCATGTGTGACCACAGTAAGGCAGCATGTTTGATTCTTATTTATTCACAGTACCAAAACAATGGTAGAACTTCACTTTAATGCACTACTCAGTTATATCAAAGACTTAAAAGAGAGTGACAAATAAGTAGGGGAAATCTGTGAACTTCAGTATATTGAGTAGGTTAATGGGTAATCAGATAAAATAAGTCTGCATATTGTCATATTTTTCTACTCATTGACCTTTATATCAGTTTTTGTCACCACTGACCTTGTTCGTGAGGCAAGCACAATCTGAGGAAGTGAGTCTGGGAATTGCAAGATAGTCTACTGCAGGCCTGGGAAATACAGTGGGCTGCTGACTCATTCAATTATTGTGTGTATAAGTGGCTCAGTTCCAAATCTTGGTCGAGTTATAGCAATTTGGTTTGGTATCACATTACATGCAGACTCTTGCAAAATACCACACATTTTTCCTTGACTAGACTGTGTATTTTAAACCCTAAATTAGTAGATTCTAATGCCAATTTATAGTGCTTGTAAGTAAATGCCACCTGTGCAGTGTGTAGCATTGCTGCCTGCTATGCAGTGCATGGTTGTACTTCTTTAGGGGGACATGCTGTGTCTTCTCATCAGTTGCTGCTCTATGGCATAACTCAGATCATGGCATGTGGATGTGAAATATRTATTTGGTCCTTTGCAAGATACTTTGATAGTTAGTGAAAGTAAAGAAGTGTTCAGGTCTGAATGAAAGTAGGTTTTTCCTTCTAACAGTACAGTAAAATATATATAAAAGATACAATTTCATGTGTGAAAAAAAGAACAGCCTTAAAAAAAGACTGCTTTTTTTTTTTTTTTCCTTTTTAATGTAACATATATAATTGAATATTTTTTTTTCTTAGATCAGATAAATTAAATGCAGTTTTGATTGGACCGTGTTTTTATACCAAAGTAATATTTTGGCAAATCCGGTCTCTGCCAGGACACTGCATGATGAAAAACTCAACTGAATGCTTGGATTGAGGAAGGGAGTACATAAACAGAATGTTTCCAGTATAATTTAATGATTTCTGGAAATACTGGTTTTTATTCAATAGGTGGCACTCTTCACTGTATATCAGGAGTGCCTAGGCATGGTTCTGGGGGATATTTAGACTGGTAATAAAGTTGTCATTTCTGCTTTATAAAATGAAGGTTGTGAGAGATTTGCCTCTCACTTGTGGCAAGAGCCGATGTGTGCAGCTTTAACATTGGTATTTTTCTAGCTTTCTTTAAAATTGTCTGTTTAAAATCCACGGTTTTTAAATTCACATTGCATTTCAATTCCTCATTTAGTCTTTCCTAAACCACTGCAATTTGCTGTGTAAAATTATAAAAAAATTCCCTGCTTTGAGTAGAGGAGGTGATTTATTAAGAGTTGGGAACATTATTTCTGAATGCATGGCTATACTGGGCTTATAGTAGTAAAATACAGTATTTTACAAATTTAGTATCTGAGAAAAGTTATTTTAAAATGTATTTTAAAAAGTCCCTTGGACAAAATATTTTTTGTTTTTGCTTCCTAGGTGAAAATTACGAATAGTTTAACTAAACAGAATTTAGCTCTGTGTGTTAGGGAATTATTTGCAGTAGGTATAAAGGTAGCCCTATTAGCCTTTTTTGATGCATATGGTAGAAAGCGGTATTTTTTTCACTGCTGCAAAATGGATTATTCAGATTTATTTGTGTAATAGTAATGACCTTCTCTTCAAGGGGGACAAATACATTAATTATATTTCTGGAGGAGACTATTTAGTAGGAGCTGACTTCTGAAATTATGACRTTTATGGATTCCTCCACCCCAGTTTATCTCGTGTATGCTGTAAGACTTCATGGTCTCAGCTAATTCTGGGGYTGAACATACAAAACATAGCCAGAAGATAAAACTTCAACCTAGTTTACGTTTGCTATAAACCCATAAAATCTGCTAAATATTATGCCTGAATTAATGAAACTAAGGGCTGTGGAATCTGTGAGTTCCTCCTTTACACTGAAAAAATTGTCCCTAGTGAAATAATATATCAAAGAACGTATTGTATGCATTGTTGAAATGCATTGTGAAATTTCAATCCAACTGAAATCTATCTGTACCATGGTTTCTGGGCCCTTGCTGAATTTCTTTTAGGTTTTAGTTTGACCTCAGTTCACTTGTTCTTCATTTGAAACCATGTCTGACTCTCTCTGCATTCTTTCATCTTTCAGTTTCCTGGAAACCACTGAGCTTATCTTTGTTTTGTGAATTGCATTGTTAACTGCTGCTTCAAAAAATACCCAGTTCAGCTGCCAAATGCATGTTGCTGAGCATTAATGAAAAGAATTTTATATAGAAAGAATAATAAATGTAGTTATTTTTCAGTTGTGGCTTTGTCTAGTTGACCATTTGGGATAATCCAGTGGCAYGTTTGATGATATGTTGAATTTCTTCATGGCAGACAGTAGGTTTAAATACACATCAAAGCAAGCTATTAAATAAGATAGCTTCACCTTTGCTGGCTATATGTGAGTTGATTTCTRATGTGTTACACTGGAAGCTGATTCATTCCTGCCAAAAATCCACCCACACRTCTCTTTTGGGGTTTTGGTTAAATATATAAAATCGAAAATATTTCARATATATATTGAATGTATATGTGACAATGTGTATRCACACACATATATATAGATGCCAAATACCTCTCAGCATGACAGAGGTACTGATACCTACTTGAAAAAGAGGTGTCCTCTTACTTCTAGTAAGTACTTTTAAAGTAGAAGCTAAATATATTTACCCTAGTCTTAAATTTATCAGGTGTCTGTACATCTCTAGGAACTATTTTTTTTCACAAATTTATGCCAACTAGTAGCCAAAAGTGTTGTGTAGTTGTTAATTATTAAGGGCTTTTTTAATATCACATAGTACTGGTAAAATGCACATTCTGTTACTGAAATAGCTGAAATTTGCAGAAYGGTGAGCAATTGGTGAGGATGATGAAGAACAAAAATAATAAATGAGTCAAGGCTGTCAAGAGCTTTGATTACCTGCAGGAGGTTACTCCAAAAGGCATAATTCTTACCTTTGTGATGCAAAATAAAGTATGTCTRTGGGGAAAGCTCAGGATGAAATTAATTATTGTTTGATCCTGGAGAAAGTCTGACATCACTTAGATAATTTGCTCTTCATCAGGGTGATGAGGGGATTGTTGTTACACACAGTTTTATTCCAGTCTTTTCCCTGATACTGAGTTAATTCAGTGTACCTGGTCCTGAGTCTCTATTAGGCACCACTTCAGAAAAGAAGACTTCTGCCATAGCTCCTTTCTTAACKTTTAAAGGGAAGAAGAGAGTAAGATAAAGTCCTATTGCATATCTGGAAAGTAATTTGTCAACTAGACAATACTGTAATATGTTGTATCACAGAAATTGTCTCCAGAAATTAACAACTGATACTTTTGAACAAAGAAACACAGCCATATTTGTAACTGCTCTGTGTATTGGTAGCCTTTGGTTCTTCTGATATGCTTTGCAGTAGCAGCTAAATAGCACACATCTTTATTTTAATTCATATGGTATCATGTGGTGTCTGGTTTCTAAATAAGCATGTGTTTGTCCATAAAAGTATAATTTTTTCATAAAATGTTTTCATAATGCATATTTCATTGCACCAAATAATCTAAATAAAGTTGAGATATACCACTTTCTGTGTTATTTCTTCAAAAAGTATCTACTAGGTGCTAATGTTGCTCATCAAACTGTTCTCAAGCTTCAAACAGACCTTGTTTATTCAGGTTTTACAAGAATTCATTCTCATTATGTGATTCTACAGAGTTGTTTCACAATGAAATGTGGTCGCATTTTCACCTGGGAAAATATCAGTGTGAAAATCTTATTTTCTTCATTTAACAGTTACTATACACATGAAGAGAGCAATAAGATTAATAGTAGATTGACAAAATGTAAATATTTCWCTTATGATGTAAATAAATTTACTATGTATTGATTATTTTTCACTGTACTGTGGCTAACAATTAAATGGTTGCTAAAAGTATTCATAGAAAAATACTTGAAAACTGTATGTTGCATTAAGATTCAATATAATAAAATATTTTTTTGTATAAATCTTAAATTTTAAATTCTAAAT